TAATGTACAAATACGACACAATAGTTTATAAAACGGTTGGAATCTTCTCTCACGAATCTAATACTGTAAGTCGAAAAAATTTACCCTCACTAGACCACAGCGGATATAGAATGAAACATGACCAATATCTCACGATTAGTCCCTCTATTTGAAGCTTTCTTAGGGCTGATATGTCTGGCTTCCCCAAAATCGATGGCCGACGTTTTGGCGACCTCCTTCTCTTCAGAGTCTGGACAGGTCAAAGTGATTCAAAATTACTCAGTCAAACCACTTTTATAACTCTAACAGAAAGACGTGATAAACAGATTTTAGTATCGCAGGTAAAAAGATCTAATTCTCGCCTTTCTGCTGGAGAATCGTTTGACCTAGTAGATTGCAGACCAATTTGACCTTGCCAGCCTCTGAATAGAACAAAATCGCTTCGAATTTAGGCATCGACTTTCGGAAATGTATATCAAACTCGGAAAAATTCTAAGGAAAAAGACAGCTTGTAAATACAATAGTCTCTTAGATTCTTTGGACTACCTGCAGCATCTTCAGGATGATCTTGGAAAGAGCTGAGTCCTGGATAGACTTTTTTAACAACGTGATTGTTCGAATCGTCTAATACAGGATCGATTTTGATGAGTTCATTATCTATAACAAGCTGATCATTTTTCTTTCTCAATACTAAGAAGTAAACACAAAATTCCGGGCAATCATAAATTTGGAGTCCCTCCTACCACATGTGCCTGCACTTTTCAGTTCATCAACAAATGACGACGAAGCTTTCGTCACCACCTGGATACATCCATGTTGACAAATGAAAAGGACAAATCAAGCCTTCGGCGTTAATCAATCCCTGAGCGATACACCATTCATTCGATGCAATTCGTAGCATCAAAGAGGCGATGAAAAGCATATCTGGCCCTTATAATGAGTCACAGTGGATTACCATTGTATCAACTCAGTGCTGCTACCCTACGCCCATCTCGAAGGAATAGAAGTTTTGGTGAGCCTTGAGCGCGGGATCAAGCCATCGACCACGCGTGTGTCACCAGAACTTCCCCAATTACTGCGCCACATGCGCCCGTTCTAAGAATGCTAAGATGCACAGAACTAGAACACCATTTAGTTCATGATCTTCATCATCTATAGCCACGTTAATTATCGGGTTACAGGAGCAGATAGCCCCCATTACCATTTTCACTTCTAAAGGCTGATCAATGAACGACACTTGCAACTCTGAAGGACAGGGCAAAGAGCTGTCGCTCACAAAAAAAAAAATCCTTGTGACTTATTTCGAACAAAGCATAGCGATCCAAAGCTTCGTCATGACACAGCAGTGACATCGCCTCTATCTGTGATTTGAGAACTCAAAGAGTTCAACTGAAAACAGCATGCTGAACGAATGAATCTCCTCTATACGTCGTAAGAGGAATCTTTTCTTAACGTCGTTAATGAGATCTCTTTTGCCACAATGCAGAGGCAATCCATTATATGAAGTTGCTGAATAAATATCAAAAATAAGAGAATTATGAAACGAGGACCATGAGATAGTAGGGGACAGCCGAAGTGTTAAGTGCAGCGATGGTCAATAGATACATCAATATACTTCCATGGAAAATTATTAATGTCAGTAATAAAAGATTTATGGGAGTTTTCGTCATAAGTTTTAGAAGAGTCTAAAAAACTCTCAAATGAGGCATATCTATCAACATCCTGGTAACAGCTAAACATAGAGAGACTATCAAGCCTACCTGAATTGCTTGTCCACTTGTACAGAAAAAGTCGAGTGCCAGTTGAACCCGCATCCATGATGACACCGTATGACTTCTCATCTACCGCCTCTGAAAGAAGTCAATATTTTGGTCTTTTCGGGACCACGAACCCAATCCTCTGCGTCCCCCAATCCCCAGCGTGTTGCGTCTAATAACGCTGTCTAACTCCACGGTGCCATTGCTAGACGCAGAACGCTGATGGTCAGATGCAATAGGATCTATCATTAGGCGCAACTCGCCGAGTTAGTGACGCAGAGGGTTGGGTCCATGGTCCCGAAAGAGTCAGCATCTATGATGACATCGCAACGTTACTAAAGTCGTCTCGAAAGAATTTCCCGATAGTAATTGAAATTTCTAAATTCGAGGAATTGTAACAGAAAGGTGAGAACTGCGCCGAATAGAATCTTATAAGCTTAGTTGAAAACGATTACGACTCTATAAGAAGTGACCAAATATTTTAACCCTACGACCCACTTAGTAGATATAACTTAGACTGAATAAGCAAATTAAGTCATCTTAAAGGACCTGGAGAGAATAGGAAAGAAGATTCATTGTGTACACTGCCACACGTTCAGAACGGCGTGTACCTTTGAGGGTGCACGATTGTCTAAAAGGTCTATTTCGCTAAAAAAAAGCATTACGCTAGGATTTTCAGTAATTAGTAGAAAGCTTAAATCTTAGCAATTTTACACCGTGATTGGTTTGCGGAAAGGCTTCCTTAATGTGATGAAGCAGCGTAAACAAAATTACGCTTTACAGTCGGTCTGCTTCGTTCGTTCGGCTAAGGTCTGTAGGCTTGTGGATGGCCTCCCGCTAAACTTTTAGCGGTCATTCAATAGATGAAATCTCGTCGTAGAGTGTTATTAATGATAATTTGATAGTTAATATGAATAGTATTAGCAAAAAGGTGATTTCGTTAGTTTAATGTAGCAGCGCGCCCCCAATATGTGTGAAATGCGGGTTCAACTCCGCTGCTTGCGGCGAATTTTTGCATATCATTCAGCATCCTTGGAAATGCAACTGTACCATCACAGCACTGCTATAAGAGGGGCTAAATCAAAAAATCCCATACAACAGTGAGCGCTCCTGGAAAAGAGTGACATACGAGTTCGACTTGTGCTTAATACGGCTTAACCCGTTGGAGACCATCGCTGATAGGCAAGCGGCGTCGCACCGCCGCGCGCGGTAGTCGCAGGCAGGCAGCGTATGCATATCTGGATGTTTGCCTGCCTTCACATGAGACGTGACGCCGTCATTCCAGTAGCTGAGTGAAATTTGACGTCGCGCGGCGTGGTACGAATCGTTCCATATGGTCATTAACTCTAAAGACAACAATTAATCGATTGTGCGACACAACTCGCAAGAGGCGCGTAATTTTCGTTATTCAAATGGGATTCATACTCTCTTTGGAAAGTAAAACCTTAGGTTTTTTGTGCACTCTAATACTACATGATTTCCTCTATATGGTCATACATTTTCGTGCATATATAACTTCTCTGTACGACAAAAACTTTGAGTGCGAAACGTAATCTTATTATAGTTCTTAAAGCGTTCTATGATAACTTTTCAAAAAGCCAATTACAGCATCGAAATCCTCGAGATTTGGGCTATCGAATGACTAGTAAGGGTTTAGCGAAGGGCCATATACAAGCGCAAGCCGAGTGCGAAACAAAATTCTTCCTTCGTTGCTACTGTGTAATAAAAAGGTTGGTCAAAAACCAAGCATATCATTGAAATGGAAGAAATTGAAGCTTTCGAATGATCAACAACTGTCGAAGAGAAAAGTTCTGTCCAACGAGAAATTCCTTCAAATAATCGTGTACCTGAGGTGGTACACGTCGTCTCTTAGGGGGTTAGAAGGTTAAATTCACAAAGGACCCACCTTCGGCATATCGTCCGCCATTGATGTAAGTGTTGATAGTGTCGGCATGATCGGAATGATTTAGGAGAAGATAGAGAGGTATGATTACGATGAGGACTGCGACGATGCACAAGCAGCGTGTTGTCATTCGCACCATGGAATGACCTGACGACGACCTCTCCTCCTCAATCGTTCGTCGCCACCGTCGTCCTTATGATCATACCGACTGACGACAACACGGCAACGGATATGTCTTTCTGTAAAAAAATCATCGAAAAAATAGGGTTAGTACCGAGTCTTACGTACGAGAAAGAGAGGGTCAGAGTGAATTCTGAGACCCCATAGATCAATGATCAGCTTCTCTGCCTGTGTCGCAATTCTTTATAAACATCAATATCAACGGCTATTTGTACAGCGATACGATTACTTGAGAGAGAGATTCTTTTCTGTTCGACGGCAACAAATGAGTATTCGACGTCATCTGCTAGACAAGATCATAGGAGTGTTAGTATTCACTCGAATGCTTAAACATCTGGCTAGAGCCGCACGTGGCCGGTTTTCTGAAAAAACCCTTTTCTAATGCTGTAAAATTCCGTATAAAATTATGTTTCACATCCGCCGCGTACCTTCATTTTTCTCACGCGTCTAATTCGCTAGAAGCATGAAAAGCATATGAACGTGTGGAGAAAATTTCGTAGTATCTGAGTCAATTGTCTGATAGGAAGTTTCTTTCGAAGGCGGAGGAGAAATTCTCAAATAAAAACAAGTTGCACCCCGCATGCCTAACCCCTCAGGGAAGCGATCGATCGCCCCACTCGTAGGTTAGCCGGTTAACAAGCCGCCGCGCCGAATATGTGAAACTCTCTCTTATTTTCCCCCCTACACTGCACTGAAACGGTCTTTCTCAGAAAATAAGCACAGCGTTGGAATCATTGAAATTTACGCTATCGAATGACTGCTAATAGTTTATAAAAAGACCTCTTTCCGGCGAAGATGGAAGCACAAATCTTTTCTCTCTCCTACAGCGCTATCAAGGGAGCTTTTCCAAACAGCAGGCACATTTTTGAGTTTTTCGAGACTTGTGCTATCGAAAGAGTACTAGCACACTAAGGGAGGAGTTTTGTTCGCGAAATATAAGTGAGATAAGAGAAAAAAAGTGTGGCCGTTTGAATCGAATTTCATTCCGGATTTTACAGCGCTATAGAGGAGTGTTTCAAAAAAGAGGTCACGAATGGCTCTAGCCAGAGATTTAAACTTTCGAATGATTACCAACACTCCTATGTAAAGTTTTCGTCCAGCGAATAAGGTCGAATATTCATTTGGTGGCGTCCAACATATAATACCAAAAAAAAGCTATGAAAGATGAGCACAGAACAGGAGCCGCGATAGTACAGTGGTGAGCAAGCGCCATTGGAAAGAGTGAGACGCGGGTTCAACTCCCGCCGCCAGTTGTGGTTCAGTCGTAATTGGTTTCGTGTCTCCAGGAATTCAATGACACTCACATAGCTAGCTCACTGAAGCAATTCATTAGTTATTCATATTTAAAAAAAACTATAGTAGAGCAGAAATGTGCAGAAAAACAAGAAAATATGGAAATTGAACATTTCATCACGAAATTAAATCTACAGAGCAGAGATCTATGGGGCGCCGTGGCCGAATGGCTGAGATGCCCGTTGGGACGCGCGTGGAGCCGAGTTCCAGTCAACTCGCCTCGGCAGTCAACAACAACGCCCTTTGGAGCGCCACAGCCAGGCTATCTTCGAGACTGCGAGGAGTCTTGCTCAATCAATATTCTACGACGTTCGAGAAGAAGAAGAAAAAACGAATTGCATGCACGAAGTCCTCGGATCCGCACAGTGGGAAATTTTGTGAAGACGGATCAATAAAGTGAAAAGTGTAAAAGTAGAGACCAATCAAAAGACGCAGAAAGTTCTTCTTCCTCGTTCCTCGGATATCTAGTAGAGAGAGACATCAACATCCACACCGATCGTCTTCCATCAAGTCGCTTGACCAGTCGAGAACAGCTGTTCCGATAAGAAGAAGAATCCCGCGCTAAGCAGACAATCTTTTATTTGATCTGCACAGGTCAGTGACCTTCTGTGAGGAGATGAGCACTACGCTCCCATATGATCTATACGGGTCGACAAGTTACTGTGAGTTCGGGACAAACCTTCCAATTCGATCTATACGGGTCATTGCCTTTCTAGGAGCGGATAACGACGCTTTGGACGAAGAATCCAGGAGAAAACTAATCACAAATAGAGGTGATCCAATACAAGAAACCGGTCTCTCCAAGGCCACCCACACACAGCGTGAGAGCCCGCCGGCAACGGTCACACGAGAACTAGTGAGGCGATCAAATCTCAACTTTTGTGGATCGTCGCCGTCATTGGAACTGGATTCAAGCAGCATGTCCACAACAGCATCGAGATCTGGAGATTATCCTCTGTGTTACGCCTACAGCAACAGAACAGTCGCTTCTAATAAGCCCTGAACGATCCTGCCTTTTCCCTTTTCAATAACGATCATGTAATGTAATGAAAGTCACTGAATGCAACAAAATCACCCTGCTCTGATCTCCGAAAAGCTACAGGCAACTTGAAGTTTCTTGCGACGGCTCAACAACAGAATAAGTGCGAGGGTCCTTTCATGGGATGTCAAACGTGGATCTTGTCGGACAGCGATCTCCGTTGTCGATATAACTCTGTTATGTACGATTCTATTATCTCCTCTAGCCATCCTCCATCTTGAGATCTTGAAGACCAGTTTCACCAGCTGTACGTCACAAAAACCTTAGAGCTCATAAGGATGAAGTGCGCATTTTACCTTATGTTTAGAGAATTAATTTGTTATTAGGTTGGGAAGAAAGTTCTGGGACATTTTTAAAAAATTGATAATTTATGCATGAATTCCGAACAAAAAGAAGAACAACTCTTCTTCACGACTTTCTGCCATCGGTCCGCCAAGTTCCGAATCTCGTCGAAAACCATTCCTTGACTTTTCGAATCTTCCGAAGCAGCAATCAAATCTTCGTTGCTCAACTTTGTTGGAGTTCTGAACGAAGCTTGTCTTTGAGCCCAAGATCTACGGCACTGAGAAACGTTGAAACCAGCGTCCAGTAGCAGATCTGTTTGTTTTGCTTTCCCCTTCAACTTCGTAGATTTCATCGAATGACGCTTCAAGACGAGAACTTCGATGGTATCGTCTGGCATGGCGGACGCTTTTAACAAAGTAGAGACGAATGATATCTACCACAGTGGGAAATTCCCACACAAGAAAGTGTAACATGCCCATAATATACATGGGAGTTATCTCATGTTTATCAAAGTGCCCCAGAACCTTTCCAACCTAGTATGAGAAGTCCGAAGGAGTTCCTGTAGGAGCTTTCAACTTTACAACAGAAAGCACCCTGACAAAAGTACAGGATTTAGAACCATGGGACAGAAGTCTTTCTTGCTGAACATGTCTTCATAGAACCCTTCTTCAACACCTAGTTCTTTTTGAATCCCTTCTGCTACAGTGTGTCCGCGCTGTTCGGGCAGCTTATGATGATTGCCGTCATTCCCCCACCCCGAGAAAAATCTAGTTCCTGTTAAGTGAATATTGATTTTGAAGGGACTTCGCCATCATACATGATGAGATGTCACTGAAGACACTTTTGTAAAGATACTTTCAATCAAAAAAACTCCCATATGTTCTTCTTAGACGTCCGAAGCGCCCGCCAGCCGAAAACGGCCGCCGTTCCGAAGGGTTTGAAAAAATAGAGGAATCGGAAAAAAAATTGCTGAGCGTGTGAGTTGCCAGATTACATGACTCAAGCGAAGATCAATCATATCATTTTAAACAGAAGACGGTGCCTTCTTAACAGTGTAGTGCCACTTTTCCGTACTCGATATGAACAACGATGAATCAATTCTTCAATGAGATTGAAAAGAATTATAGTGATTCTAGAAGAAAAACAAAAACCCTTTACGGCGAGAATATCATGAATGAACTTCGAGGTGATGTAGATCTAGATGGTATGCTATGGTATGATGTGCACTGGTAGTTTAAAGAGAGCAGATAGATGATTGATCAGAGAGCTACTTTGACTCCGCAAACTGGTTTTAAGTTCTCAGCTGTTCCAATAACTCTTTGGAGGGGGGTGCTGTAGAGTTCTTGATCAACAAAAAACGTAGGGAATCTTGCGTTAAGGAAGCTCAACGAAGCAATTCCATCATCGTGAACTACGACCGATTGATCTTCCGGACTCGCTGACACTTCCGTCTAGGCGACGGGAGGCAACAGTCATCCTTTTGTAACTGCGAACTCCCGGCGAGTATCATAGAATTGTTCCCCAACTCCGCAACTCGAGATAGTACTGCTCTCAAAAAGGTATCGCTTTTACGTATGACGTTGAAAATTCAGAGATATTGGTTGCTTAAGCTTGAAGCATTAGCGGATTAGCATGAGATTTTTGCGTAGAACTATGTCTTTTCTACTATTGCTGAACTTCGGACGGTTTAAGCATTGTTTTAAAGGTGTTAGGTAAGCTGATCGGTTTTTTCACCCATGATTATTACGTTAACATCTTGAAGGCAGTTGAAGAGATAAGAGAAGGCACCAATGATTACTTAGAACCAGTTTATTCCAGAACATGGAAAATTGAGAGGATGTCAGTCAAGTAGAACCTTTCAATTTATAAGACGTGATTTATTTAGTTAAAAGAGTACTCTTCAATAGACAATACATGTGTTCAGTGGTGACAGAGGGTATCTTAAAGTCAGTGGAATGATGCCTAACTTCAAGCCATCTTGGCTATCAGGTCTTCTCATGGATTTCAGCATTAGGGCAAAGAACACAAATTTTCTTAAGCAAGTAATCAAAATTGCTAAACGCAAGAAAATCGCTAAAAACTGCTCCATCGTCTTCTTCGTGTTCCATTTTCTGGCCAAGATAATCACCGTCGACAAGAAGTCGCTTTTTTCAGGAGTCAACGTCGTCAATGGTTGTCAGCAGGCCAACGAGGACTCCAACTACACGTTCAGATTGCTTCGCACCAAAAGCTATGCTAATTATCTCGAGACCGGACCACGGAGATTCACTGGAACTTGATGCCAGCCGGAGAAAACACCAACGCCAAGTGTTACACTGATCACCTGGACCGCTGCAATCGAGTCTAGTCACGTCGACGTTGCCACAGTCTGATCCAGCTTCAAGACAACGCAAATTGCATATTACCAAGTTGACAAAGAGGAAGTTGACGAAACTAGGCTAAGAATTGCTGTAACGTCCCCGCACAGTCCTGACTTGTCGCCGTCTGACTACCACCTCTTCCGGTCACTGGAGCACTTCCTGATCAAGAAGTTGCGAGACATTAATCATTTGCGTCGCGGATTGATAACTTTCTTTGAATTCAAGGATGACGAGTCCTATGTGCGCGGTACTGATTTGTTGCCTGAGGAATGGCAGAAATGTGTTCAGGCTAACTGCGCATATTTTGAATAGTGCTATTAAGCAATTTTGATTACTTCTGGCTTTCAAAACTGGTGTTTATTACCCTAGTACAAAAACTCATGGAAATATCTAAACAATCGATACATTTAGAAAGTTTGTCGAACACTAACGTATGGACAGCTATAAGCAGCACCGCTTTATGTGCATTTGCCTCAATCAAACAGGAACCTTTTGGTTTGATGCAAATCCTAATCATCACCTATGCCCCATACCCTATCGACTGTAACAGGCACACAGTAGAAATAAGTAAACTGTATTTCTTATTACATGTATATCAGGGCAAGGTCGTATTTGATCCACCTTTGAATTCAAAATTATCACCACAGTACTCTCATTTTTAATTCCCAGCGTGCTGCATCTAAAAATGGCACGCTGGGGGTTAGGGATGCCATGGAAATGGAGCAGATCGCCCAGAGTTGCTTGTTAGAGAAGCAGAGGCCGTGGGTTCCGGTCCTGAAAGGGTTAACCAGAAAAAGAAAACAGGATGCTTAGAAACGTATCCGTACGTCGAACGTATATTTATAGCAATTTCTGTGGAACAGAGCGTGTGTCGCGCGATACTTAGAAGCACTGCAATGCACACGTGGCGAATGGTTCGATCCCGTGTCTAGGAGTCAGGATCACCAGGCCATCCCTACCTACACGGTGGGTAAATTCTATCGGATTTGTTTGGAAAGATAGCATTACCAAGTTCACAGATCGGTAGGTCACCAAAAGTCATTGGCAGTCAATCGTCTCTCATGATGCATGGAAGAAGTTGGATGCTTGGCACACTTTTCAGTATTATTGATCAACGTCTAGTGTTTTGAAGTTTCTTACTGTGGAACAATAAAATCAATATTATAATGGCGACAGAAATGTGTACGAATTTTGCTGTGAGCAGGAAAATTCTGAACAAATTCGAAGTAATGTTGTTTCAACGCGGACGAACAACCTCATATTCTGGTCGTGGAAAAAATTT